AAATGAAATACAGAGAGCACTGATCTCCAAACATATGGCACACAATGAGTAGATGACACAACTGACATAGCTATCACTTTTAGGGATCACAGCATTAAGGAAGCAAAGAGAGAGGAGAAAGAAAGAGTATTTGCAAAGATCACAGAATCAAGGAAACAAAGTGAGACAGACAGTATGTCAAAAACATACATGGAAGGTATCATTTAAGTAAATCATATATTCAAGAAAACAAATTTAGACACATTTAAGTAAATCATATATTCAAGAAAACAAATTTAGACACATTTAAGTAAATCATATATTCAAGAAAACAAATTTAGACACATTTAAGTAAATCATATATTCAAGAAAACAAATTTAGACAGACAACATATCAATGTTGTTCGCCCATCACGAATGATGAAGACCACTTTCATCCAAAGTAGCTGGATGAAAGTGACTTGCGCAAGCACTTGGATTTAAGTGAGGAAGAGTTGCGCAGTTCGTCGACCTCACTCTCTCGCCTGTGTCCATCATGATCCAATGGCAGGACAATGTCCAGACGATTGGAAATGGACCTAGGTGCAGTGGATGACCAAGGCGTCTTAAGTGCCCTGCCTTGCTTGAAGCTCTCCAAAGAGCATGCTGGTAAACGCCTTTTTGTCCATTGAACTAATAAGAGGTTTCATCCGCACAATCCGCCGAGTCCAGTCTTTGCATGCAGGGTAGGCATATCCCTTTCACCGAGTGGTTTAGAACCAGGTCGGCTACCCTCTCCTGGTTTAGTTAGCCCATCAAAGCTGTTGACTGGGGGGTCGCCGCTGTCGCAACATATCATACACACATATGGAGGATATCATTAACACAGATCACAGAACCCAGGAAAGACAGACAATATTATATGCACATACATGGACGGTATTATTTAAACAGACCACAGACTCTAGGAAACAAAGTGAGACAGACAGTAGGTCATAAACATACAAAAAAGATATCATTTACACAGATCAAAGAACCAAGGAAACAAAGTGAGACAGACAGTATGTTATAAACATACATAAAAGATATCATTTATACAGATACAAAAAACCAAGGAAACAAAGTGAGACGGACAGTATGTCATATACATACATAAAAGATATCATTTACACAGATCAAAGAACCAAGGAAACAAAGTGAGACACACAGAATGTCATAAACATACATAAAAGATATCATTTATGCAGATAAAAGAACCAAGGAAACAAAGTGAGTCAGACAGTATGTCATATACATACATAAAAGATATCATTTACACAGATCAAAGAACCAAGGAAACAAAGTGAGACAGACAGTATGTCATATACACACATAAAAGATATCATTTACACAGATAAAAGAACCAAGGAAACAAAGTGAGTCAGACAGTATGTCATATACACACATAAAAGATATCATTTACACAGATCAAAGAACCAAGGAAACAAAGTGAGACAGACAGTATGTCATAAACATACATAAAAGATATCATTTATGCAGATAAAAGAACCAAGGAAACAAAGTGAGTCAGACAGTATGTCATAAACATACAGAAAAGATATCATTTACACAGATCACAGAACCAAGGAAACAAAGTGAGACAGACAGTATGCCATATACATACATAAAAGATACATCATTTACACAGATCAAAGAAACAAGGAAACAAAGTGAGACAGACAGTATGTCATAAACATACATGGAAGGTATCATTTACGTGGATCACACAATAAAGAAAAACAAAGTGACAGAGAAAACGTTACATGCACATCTGAGGTATCACAGTAAAACAATGTGTATCAGAGTATGATGTATTTTAGTGAAGAGACATAGGGTATATCACAAAATGTACAGTATTTTCTCAATTTCAAAGTAATTTTATCATTTGAAAATCAATATATGAGAAAAAAAAACATACTTAACGTGCAGACCAATATGAAATGAGGGAATGGCTGGGTATATAACTCTTTGGGTACCAAGGAACACATCATGTGCTGATTTATAACCAATGAAACTGTCCTCTTATACCAGAAGAGTTAATATTGTGATAGATCATCAACAAATCACACAGCTCAGATATAATCAAATTTAACAGATAAAAACATATTATTGATTGCTTATTCTACAGCTTTCAAGTTAAAACTCTTGATCAGACACAGCAAAGTTTGCCAGGCAATAAATTGTGCAATGTATTGTTTGTGTTCAAATTATTTAAATTTACTACAGGAAAACATTTTCTTTTTTGGATATAATTATGACTAGTTTTTATTAAGTGAAATTATAAGCAGACAAAAATAAACTAAATCTGACATCTGTCATGGATGATGTCCATTGAAACTAAACTATAAAGTTGAAATATATTAACGAATGCACTGATGTTTATTTATCTATAACCTTAACATTTTGCACAAAAAAAGCAAACACATGAATATTGTACTGCTTTAATTAATTCTTTATGAAACAATGATGATATCATAAAAATATAAAAACCTCCAGTGTAAAAGAATTTGTTCTTTTCAAAATTCCAAATATGAAAATTAAATGTAAAATAAATGTTGCTCATGGTTAGTAAAGTTTGGGTAAAATGGAAGGCATTGGAAAAGAAGTTTAAATTATTATACATATATGCAAGAAGACTGTAGAAATTAAAACAGAGAACAAATGTAAAAGATTTTGTATGTGCTTCCTTTCTTCAACAGTTAAATATTATTTCTTATTCTAGATGATTTCCAGATTGTTTTAAAAGTTTAAAAACTATGATAAATGGAATTTTATCCACATCATATACTGTTAGAGGTTTAGCATGATCCACCACCATAATCTGCTTCTTACTACAATCCAAATTTAAGATTAGCATTACCTACATCGATCTGGCATACTTGGTGGTCCACAGTCCCCATGACCTCCAAGGACCCTCAAGTTTAGAATGTAACCTCTTATGCAATCGTAAAATATTTAAATTACAATTGGTTCTTCAGTATGTACTATTAAAAAGTATGGGATCCATGGCAGACTTCCAAAAATAAGAGTGAACTGCCCTTCTTGGCTAAAAGGAAACATAATGTTCCATAATACATGTATCATGATGGAGACAAAATAGTGATGGTGTTAACAAAAACTGCTATGCAATATCCAATAAATTAGCAGGTCATCTGTGGTACCTATGAATGGCCTGTAGTTCATGTCTTTCAGGTCTCTGTCTCTTGACATAATTTTAGTTTCTGCAAAGATTTTTGCTGTCCATCTCTGACTGTTTTCTGTCTAATTTTCATCAGTTCTCAAGATAATAATTTTAACAATACAACACTCCAGCAGAACAAACACAATAACTAGACATTTCTGCAGAAAGAGCAAATGAAAATATATCTGTAATGATTAAAACACAACCAACACAAAACTTTTATCAATACGTACTGCCTAAGTGTTTTAAATATTCAACAGTGTATTGTACATGAAACTCAGAAAAATCCCATCGCTGTCAACACCAATATAAGGATATTGATAGGTCAGGTTCAAGTCCAGCAGACATTATCATCTACACAGATGAAAGCATGGCAACTATGTTAAGCATGACCACAGAGATAACAGCTACGTCCAAAGCACTCGCGTGTACAGCAGATAATGCACCACATATGCAGTGATCATATCAGACTCCATAAAGGTGCTTCAGATAATTGCAACAGACAGCCTGCACTGGGTAAACAGTCACCTTAACTTCCCTCACTTGGATCTAAACACCTGGGCATTTTGGAGTAATAGGTTATAACTGAGTGGACTGGTTGGCAAGTAGTGCACCAGGCGGGAAGATGCAATAACATTCCGTGTTAAGATACGAGACATTACAATCAACTTCTCATGGGAACTGTCAGTAACTTCGGGTGACTAGTACCCCAGAGTGCAGTGAAGTCGACTGTGATAAGATAACTCAATCAGATTTTGTATGTGATTTTAAAGCCATAATAAAAAAGACTACCAACACAATTATAATTATGATTATATGTCAACTGCCTTTTACTGCCCATGTTGTACCACTTTTTAGAATGAATGAATGAATTTCTACCCCACCAGGACATCACACAAACGATAAACACCCGATGACACAACGTGCCACCATGTGGGTGAGGATCACCGTGGAGAGGTCCCAGAAACAGCGTTCAGACAATTGGCCATATTTATGGCCTGCCTATATTGTGGCCCCTGGCAAAAGCCAGAGTGGGGCTTCAAATAACAAAAAATTACGTCCTAAAAAGGACGTTAAGTATTTTGGCAGTAAAGTAACTTTTTAGAACAGGAGGATAATTTTTATAGTGGAGGATTTACGGCCACAAGGTTTAATGCAGCTGCATTGAAATTTACAGGTTAAGTCAGTTATTTAAAAAACAAAGGGTAAAGAACCCTTTTTACCCCAGTGGTGTGCTGAGCATATGATGCTGGACTCTTGATTTCTCTTGTTTTTATAGACTAACTGGCCCACAAACGGTCATATGGTCAGCATCATACCGGCTGCCTTTACTTCCCAGCACTTTATCTAATGCTCGTATTAGGCTGGGTCAACCTGGGAGCCAAGGTCAATTTTTAAAAACATTCAACGTGAACCCAAGATCTGTGGGTTGGAGGCAGAGCATCTAGCCACTACACCACTGCAGCTCCCACTGTACAGGTGAGTAATTTCACTTGCCTCTGAAAGAAAAAAATCCCACCTTCTCACCAAGGGATTCCCAAATAAGAGCCCAGTTTCTAACCATATGCTTATAGTTAAATATAACATTACCATATTAAACATAAGCAAGATGAAATGAATAGTGAATTTACTTTGCTCTATTAGACTTATTTTTAAAATATGTTTGTCAACACATATTCAAATACAGGCATTTTATTTTAATAGCAATATTCCTTTCCAGGCTCTCAAACTCTTTTTTTTCAAAATCAACCCACACACAAAATATCAAAATAGTTCCGTTGTTGTACAAGGCATGAAGTGATTAGAACATTACACACCAGAATCATAACCTGTTGCCATGCTGAGGTGAATTCTTGCGCTGTTCAATATCGTCATCAAGGTTCTTCATGAGAATCTCGTTGAACTCATGAAATATTTGATGTAAAGCTTCCTTGTTCTGAATGGAGCAGCCTCTCAGTAACCACTGGCGATTCTTCAACTCAGTGTTAGCTTCTAAGTAATTTGTCAGCTGAAATGACCGATAAGTAAATAAATTACATACTGCTTGAAGAAGGAATTCACTTATAATAAAGGTTATCACGTGGAGTAAAACATTATTAAAATATGAATACTCCTAAGCTTTCACCAGTTAGTTATGAGATGAAACAATCTATAATATTATGAGGTGGTTATGACAGGTAACAGTTTGTAATTAAATGGGTGATTATGTGAGGTAACAACCTGTAACAGAATTATGTGTTTATGAGAAACAAAACTCTGTAACGACGTGAGGTGTTTATAAGAGGTGCACGAGAGGTAACACTCTGTAATGAAATAAGCTGTTTATAAGAGGTAACAATCTGTAATGAAATGAAGTGTTTATGACAGGTAATACTCTGTAAGGAAATAAGGTGTTTAGGAGAGGTAACACTCTGTAATCAAATAAGTTGTCTATAAGAGGTATATGAGAGGTAACAATCTGTAATGAAATGAGGTGTTTATGACAGGTAACACTCTGTAATGTCTTTATCACGGGTAACACAGTAATGAAATAAGTTGTTTATAAAAGGTATATGAGAGGTAACAATCTGCAATGAAATGAGGTGTTTATGAGAGGTATTACTCTATATTAAATTGAGGTGTTTATGAGAGGTAACAATCTGTAATGAAATGAGGTGTTTATGAGAGGTAACCATCTGTAATTAAATGAGGTGTTTAGAGAGGTAACAATCTGTAATGAAATACATTGTTTAATATACGAGGTATATGAGAGTAACAAACTGTGATGAAATCCGGTGTTTAAGAGAGGCAACAATCTGTTCAAAGGGGATGTTCTAGAAGCAATAATGGTGTTGCCTGTCCATTTGGACAAAGTTCTATATACAATCAGACGGTTACTGGTACCATCAGAATTGGAACTCTTCGCTTGCTGCTCAAGATAGGGACTGAGCACTCATTGGAGTGTCCCGAGTGCTGTGATGTCGATTTTTTATTTAACATTCAACATGGACAAAGTTCTGAATCCCCAATCTTGAATTTATTGTACATGTAGCCTGTTGCATCCAGTATGCAGACTATATATAATGCTCTGTTTTTTTCATGACAGCAGCTTGACTGGGTCTTTATGATTGTGCCCTGGGTGGAAAGTGAACCAGTGGATTCTAATGACTGCCCTGATCCAAGTTTTATTTTCCTGATAAGTGCATTCTGTATTTGGCTGTTTTGTATGACTGCTAGTTTTTGCTAAGTGGTCTGCTCTTTAATTTCCCTCAATGTTGCAGTGGCCATGGATGGTTCTGTGGAGGACCAGCTACGACTTCATAAAGTTACTTCATATGAAACCACTGCCTTGGAAAATGAAAAGAAGTTTGAATAAAGGATCAACACGGGTAGTAACCCAAAGTGCTCCGCTCTTCTTCTAATTCAAGTCTGAGTCCGAAGAAGCTCAGCACAGTGCACGAATTCCGGCGAAGATCCTGAAATACTCTGGGTAGATTTTTAACTCCAAATTTTGCCCAGGCAGTGCCGTTAGGCTACTCTTTTCAATATCCAACTGCCAAGGCTTTTTTTTTTTACATGTGCAACAATACACACGGGCATCCAATCTCACTACCCAGAGACCAGTGGGAATTACTATAAGTCCAAGTACACATGAAAAAATCAAAGCCCTAACCGGTGATTGAGCCTGGAACCTCTAGCACTTTAGGCGGACACCATTACACGAGACCACGCAGTCCCACAAATAAAAAGAAGAAATGCTCAAACAATATTACCTCCTCTGTGCTGCGTGCCCCTTCCTTGTCTTGAAAATTGGCCAGTATTAACAATGGTATGGATTTCAGTTGGTGATGACTGACAGCTTTATACAGTTCTGTCTTGGCAATGTGAAGTTTTTCATCTGATGAACTGCTGTCTATCACAAAAATAATTCCCTGGAAAACTTGATAGTATCTCTCCCAGTATGGACATACCTTGTCACCACCTACAAGTGACACAAGTTTACATGATTTCTCATCTGGCATTTACAAACACAAATAAACACAGAAAGAAAGAAAGAGAGAGAGAGAGAGAGAGAGAGAGAGAGAGAGAGAGAGAGAGAGAGAGAGAGAGAGAGAGAGAGAGAGAGTTACACATACAAAAAATCTTTATGAAGAAACAAAACAAAAATATAACTCAATACACTGAACAATTCTGGTGCACTGAGTTGAACCATTTTTGTGCATTGAATTGAAAAATGTGTGTCTACTAAATCAATAACCACTGATTAACACCAACAAAAGGACATGATTACCCAGCAGGGGTAGCTTCATCCTCACACACATAAGAGAACATATGGCTACACAGTCCAACATTTTCCTTATATATGTAGGAGAACATATGGCTGCACAGTCCAACACTGTCTTTATATATGTAAGAGAACATATGGCTACATAGTCCAAAACTGTTCTTATATATGTAAGAGAACATATGGCTACACAGTCCAACACTGTCTTTATATATGTAAGAGAACATATGGCTACACAGTCCAGCATTGTTCTTATATATGTAAGAGAACATATGGCTACATAGTCCAAAACTGTTCTTATAAATGTGAGAGAACATATGGCTACATAGTCCAACAATGTCCTTATATATGTAAGAGAAAGTATGGCTACATAGTCCAACACGGTTCTTATATATGTGAGAGAACATATGGCTAGATAGTCCAACATTGTCCTTATATATGTAAGAGAACATATGGCTGCACAGTCCAACATTGTTCTATATATGTGAGAGAACATATGGCTACTTAGTCCAAAACTGTTCTTATATATGTGAGAGAACATATGGCTACATAGTCCAACAATGTCCTTATATGTAAAAGAAAGTATGGCTACATAGTCCAACACGGTTCTTATATATGTGAGAGAACATATGGCTACATAGTACAACACTGTCTTTATATATGTAAGAGAACAAATGGCTACATAGTACAACTCTGTCCTTGTATATTTAAGTGATCATATGGCTACACAGTACAAATCTGTCCTTATATATGTAAGAGAACACCTGGCTACATAGTCCAACAGTGTCCTTTTATTTGTAAAAGAGCATATGGCTATATAGTACAACATTTTTTTAAGTATGTAAGAGAACATATGGCCACAGAGTCCAACACCGAGTGAACCTGTAATGGCAGTCACGCACTGTCTTTATTCACGTAAGCAACACGTGGCTATACGGTCTAGCATTGATTCTTTATATGTAACTGAATGTGTGTACAGTTCTATAGCATTATCCTTTAATGTGTAATGGAACAGCCACATAGAATTTTTTATTTAAAAAAAATTATTTTCTCTCATAAATATTCAACTGTCATGTCAACTATCATGCAGCAGCTGTAGTATCATACCTGAAGATCATGGGTTTGAATCTACAATGTGTTGGAAAATGTTCTTCAAAATAACTGTTGCTCCCAGGTTGACCCAGCCTAAAATGTGTACCAGGTAATGTCCAGGGAAGTAAAGGCAGGCACTGGTCTATAAAAATATCGGTAGGATCGAATACTTGATGTGCCATTGCAAAAGCTTAAAAAAAATGGGTCACAATAGAAAAATACGAAGTAGTTGGTCTGAGTATTAATATGTTCAGTAAGGTGACAAACATTTTATTTGTTGGGGCGCACCAAAATATCCTATCCTGCAGTTTATGTTGACTGCTCTAGTGATGCGCCCCTAGAATCTTAGATTTGTAACCTGCCTGTCTAATACTGTCCTAAAAAGTAGTAAAAATAGACAGCCAAAAACTTCTTTTTTTTTTAAATACAGAACTGCCTTCAACATATAAATAAAATATATACCAAGCTAACAGTTCTTACCTCCTAACTCTTTGACTTCCAAAATGCAGTCGTCAAAAAGTATTGCCTTGATACTAAACCCTGTTCAATTGTAAAATATATGCTGAAATGTGAACACTCTTTTGAATGATGAAAATGTCCTCAGATTCTAAATATGATAAAGTTAGTTTCAGCTAATTTTAAAACATGGTGCTTCACCTTAGTTAAAATTACATTATTAGGTTATTTAACATCATAACATGAACAAAATTATAGATTCTATAGAGGTCAATGACTCATTCACAGATCCATTCATAGGAAGATAATGTATTTCCTTTCGTCTTCCACATTCACATAGCCAGGTTGTGGACCTCTGTATGACTATTTTGTACATGTTATGATATATACTTTTCCATATCTAGTCATTTCTTGCCTTTAACCATTAGGAGGAACATTCATGACACCATAAATTGCAGTTCAGTTTTTTTTTTTTTACATTTAACTGAAACAATCAAATATGAGGAGCAGAAATATCAGGCTTCAAATTAAAACACAATCACAACTGATAGAATGAATGCTGCAGTTAAAAAGCCTTTATCAGCATGCAAGACAGACAGACGATACACCATAAAAAAAACAAAAAAACTACACATTATAATTATAATAGCGTAACTTTTCAAATAACGAAAACAACTCCTTGTCAGAATTTTATAAGAAATGAGCAACATTAGAAACTCAGCTTTTCTATTTACTAAATATCATATAAAATAATAATTAATAACAATAATTGTATCAAAGTAAAGTATATTAGTGTTCACTGTTATTATTTTACCCTTTTTGTCCCCATAAATGCATCATGTGTAATCAGTTGTGGTTCAAATGTACAAAACAACGCTTGCTGTGTTATTTAATCTTCTACGTTGGTCTGAAAACACTAAAGATATGTGGCTACATATTTTAACACAGAGCACAGCATATAATGCATCTTTAAAAGTAACACAGTAAAACACAGAAACATTCTTCACTGTGGCTATATATTCCCCTCAATATTTCTGCAAAAGTTTCTGGTGCTATATTAAAAACAAAAAAAAATGCAATATTTTGTGTTTTTACCAATAGTTGGTTCAACCTTGTGCAGGTCATCTTCACTCAGAGTTGCCAGTACTGAGCTTTTACCGGCATTTTCCAGCCCGATACAAAGAACAGAAAAATTTGGTCTCACCGGGGAGGGTCCTTTACAGCAGATTCGTCTATACAACTGCCAAATGTAAAAAAGAAATAAACACAGATATGTCAAACAGTTTGGCAGGGAAACATAAAAATAATGGAACAAATATAAAGCAGATAATTATGGCTTGTTTTCCACCGAAAATGTACTTCTATTGTTCTCTTTGAACCTTGAGGTGTTATAAGTCAAAATATTTTATGATCTATTGTCTACTGGCAGTACAATTTTCAACTTTTATCTAAATTTCATTAATAAATTGTCTGTCTGTGTGTGGGGCTAAATTCACATGCATTTGGAACTAGATATTTCTGTACCAGAGCATGTTAGCATAGCCTATAGGAAGCACTGATTACTTCTGCCACCAATATTATTTTCACAGGTCACTCATGAAAACATCAACAGGAACCATTCTGGTCTATTCAGCATGAAATTAACCTAATTCTGTAATGGAAGTGGTGTTTGAAGAATAATCTATGTAAATTTTACAAACTGTCATACATATTATTATATTATTTTATCACAGTCCATTCAGTGCGCACTGAGCATTCCCATTCATGTGTATTCCTGTGATGCAGCAGCTTATCTAAACTACCTTTACTGATTTTTCCCATTGTCTACAATGTCCCTTATACTGACCTTAAATGCGACTTCAAAATACTTTTGAATATGAACATTTAAGGGATATTACGTGTATGTAAACTTTAGAAACCTTGTGTAAATGTGAAGTTTAGAATCATTTGTTATGCTCTTCGTGTGCAGTCTGTTTTCAATTACTTATGTTCACATTTGCTGGCACTCAACAAAGGTGTTTTCTATTTTAATCAAACAGGCCAGTAGTTGAATCCAGTTTCAGTAGTTGATATCTTACGTTCTTTTTAGGACGTAATTTTTTGTTATTTGAAGCCCCACACTGGCTATTGCCAGGGGTCGCAATATAGGCAGGCCATCAATATGGCCAATTGTCTGAACGCGGTTTATGGGACCTCTCCACGGTGATCCTCACCCACATGGTGGCACTTTGTGTCAATGGGTGTATATCGCTTGTGTGATGTCCTGGTGGGGTAGAAAGTCAGTCAGTCAGGCCATTAGTCACAGTAAAATGAATTTGTTTGCAAAGGATTTTAGTTCATTTCTTATTTGAGATGTTTTAATTAGAGCTTCTAGGTATTTATTTGTGTCTTAAGTTAAACTGAACACTTTTATTTAGTGACAAGTTAAAAAATAAATCAAAAGAGATGCTTATTATACAAACTATGGGAAGCTTTACTAACTATTCTGACAATATGTCCCAATTATAACCATGGGGTTGAACAGAATATTATTATTTATACAAAAGCTTACTAGTCTAACTTATCATACTGCACCATGTATCTCAGCTTCAATACTATTATTATATTATTATATTCATAATAATAAAATAACAGTACAAATAATTAAATAAAAATATGTTTACATTATAGTTGATATTAATAATATAATTATATAAGTTGGTGACTACAATCACAACTAACAATATTAGTAGTAGGAATGTAGACAACTATACAAGAAATCTTATTCAACCCATCTGGACTATAATTGGGATAGGCCAGTTTTAAAAACAAATACAGTTTTGGCATTTCAAGTACTTTAGTACGTTTGATATTTTGCATTTCAAGTACTTTAGTACGTTTGATATTTTGCGGGGGGGGGGGGGGGGCGGATTTTGAACAGATTATAAATCAATTGTTATAACAGACTGTAGCAGTATAGATGGTTGAGTGTAATATATTTTACCTGTACTTTTTAAATAATAATTATAATATTTCAAATATTATTTGTATGATCATAATTATAATACTAATACCTTTTTTTTCAGTTCAATTTTTTTTTTAAATTGTGAAATTACTGATTCGAAATTGTTTTTTTTTTTTAAATATTGGAGGTGTTTGGTGTGGGGACTTTTATTATAATATTATTCACTAAAATATAATGATAATCGTATAATAATAAATAATTATTATAATTATATATTTAAATGTTATTTATTACTGACCTGCGTAACCAGAACCAATAAAAAGCAAGTTAGCTAACAGCATAACTAACTCAATACTACCTTGGCTCAGTCTTGTCTAAGTTACTTACAGCATAAAATCCAACTCTGCAAAGAGCGCCTAAAATCCGCAAGCTTTCACACATTCTGTGGCTGCAGTAAACTATTACCTACTCCTGTGTGAATCACATCATTATTGTGAAGACGTAGCAGTAGAAAATGTAGCAGTAGAAACGACAACAGATTTTACAGACACTTGCAAATGCAATTGTGAGGAAATTGCTTCCTCTTCCGGCCAAAATTGGCCTAGCGACAAGGCGAGGAGAAAGGTAACGTCATTAAACACTGACACACAGTTTGTTGCAGGTCCAACTGGATGATATAACTGCAGGGCGGGTGCGCTCATAAGCCAAGTCATTTGTAGTCATTCTTCTTCTTTCTCCTATCCCTAAGTGGAGCGCACCCCCTCCCCCCCCCCCACCAAGTCGTTCTATCCTTTGCAATTGCACGCAGCTCACCCCGTGTCCTCCCCATCTTTTAAACTTCACTTTCTACTACTATTCTTCATGTTGCTATAAGTAAAACCATATGCAATTATGTCAGTTATCGTAGTGCTAATTAGCACTCGTTGGGAGGAGTTCGTGAGAAAATGATCGACATCATAACACTCGGGACACTCCTATATGCGCTTCGTCCCTATTTTCAGCAGCAAACGAAGAGTTCGAATTCCGATGGCAAAAAGTAATAAATGTTAAATGTGCGTGTATTTGAATGGGATGAGTGAAAAGTAACTATAATAATATAACTGAAATAATATGAAATAGGAAAACAAATACTCTTAAAGAACATTTTATTACTGGAAAAAAGGAGGATACTCGCTTAGTAGTGTCAGCCTTCACTAGGGCTTTTTACTGCTGGCTGTACGCAGTGCTGGCATCTTTTTAAGCATCATTTGTTTCCCCTACAAATACTGTAATCGCCATTGTGTCGTGATTAGTGGCACCTCTTTTTGTCACTTTGTGGTGAATACCGGCACAGTTTTTCCTAGAAAAAAAAAAAGCCATGGCCACCCGCTTCTCATAACTGCTTGGGAGCTGTAGGGGTCTGAGTCAACCGAAGGGGCGTTCATAAGTCATAATTGTTTGGCAGCTGAAGGGGTTCGAGTCAACCGAAGGGGCGTTCATAACAGATAATTGTTTGGCAGCTGAAGGGGTCTGAGTCAACCGAAGGGGCGTTCATAACTCATAATTGTTTGGGAGCTGAAAGGGTCTGTGTCAACCGAAGGGTCGTTCATAAGTAATAAGCCATATGCGCGTGATCTCCGTGGCGAAGTGGTCAATCCGTTTGCCTCTAGCTCTGAAGGTCGTGTGTTCGTTTCACGGCGGCGGGGCTACGGAGATCATGCTCTGTGCGACGCTCTTGGCAGGCAGCTAGCTGTTCTGTTCTGCAGCCATGTGCGATAAAAACCCGGTGTAAAGAGGTTGATCCTTCACCTTTACCTTTAGCAATATGCGCGAGCTGAAAGAATCAGACACACAGAGTCTTTATTAACAAATAAAAGTTAGTGACGTTCAGTCCCATCAGAACATCACACCGAGCGATAAATACCTGACGACACAAAGTGCTACCATTCAGATGAGGATCACCCGGGGACAGGTCCCCAAAACCCCGTTCAACCCAAAGGTTTGGTTATGTTAGGACCCCTGAGAACAGCCAGGGCTATTCTAAAATACTTATTCAGTGACAAAAACTTTGGCCGAAACGTTCTCTTGTATGTGTGCGTCTTTTCAGAACCTCCGCTGAACATCACATTCATAGCCATTTGCAAGTAAACAGGTAAACAATCAGGAGAAAGTCGAGACGGACAAACATCCAGACTGCTACTAGTATCATTGGAACTTGTGTTTTGTGCTTGCTGCTGAATATAGTGTCAGGGTGCATATGGAAATACTAAGAAGAGTATAGTCGAGTCGATACATAGATTGTTTGATTTGATTCAAGAACCGACATCACAGCACTCGGGGCATTCCCAAAAGCGCTCCGTCCCCATCTTCAGCAGCCAGCGAAGAGTTTCGATACTAATGGTGCCAGTAGCATTCTGATTAAACGTCCGTCTTGCCTTTCCTCTGAGCCTCAAGTATCTGCCAGAACCTCTCGTCACCTCCCCCTCCCCCTCCCCCTGCGTCAATTTCACCAGACTGTGGTGATCCATCTGCTCCTCCGAACTGTACACGCTCTCCCACAAGCCACTAACCCATCTGCCTTATCGTGCATCAGCATTGCACGAAGTTGTGCAGAGCCAGCCAGTCTGTCTGCCTGTTTATTTCCCAACACACCGGCGTTCCCGGTGAAAGAATCTGGACAATACTCCTCACCCGTGTCCTCCGTAGCGAGGCATGCCACTCTGCATGAAGCATACCTGTTCTGATCTTCCTCAGCATGCTTTCTGAATCTGTTACAATCACGATGTGTGTGTGTGTGTGTGTGTGTGTGTGTGTGTGTGTGTGTGTGTGTGTGTGTGTGTGTGTGTGTGTGTGTGTGTGTGTGTGTGTGTAGTGTTCTCTAACCAGCGGAAAGCTGCAGTGATCGCCTCCACCTTCATTCTTAAGTTGCATGTTGTAGTATCACATGCTAGGCTCTCCTGCACCAAACATCGACCATTAACTTTTGCTAAGAAACCACAAGCACTTCTTTTGCCTCTTGACACTGAACCGTCTGTGTAAATGATCAAATCTTCTGAGCGAGCATTATCTTGAATTAATTGCTGAATTTCCACCTCTGTGGCACTTGCTGGCCAGTCTCTGCATTCCCGGCTCAGTGTGATTATGACCCTACACAAGTCTGATTGTTCGGGTGGCACTTTGACCCACTCCAGTTCTCGCCTAATGTTTTCAAGGATGCAAGCCTGTGTGATTGTGTTTTATGCCTGAGCCATCCATGACTTTTCTCTAATCAGCCGCTGACCCTTAACTGCACACAGAGCTTCATGCAAACAGTGGTCTGTGTCTGCAGCTACCCTAATATATGACTTCGCCTGCAGCACTTTGTGCCTACCCGCAACAGTCGGCAAACCAAGGATCTATCGCACACACACCACTTGGGTGTCTGGTGCAACCAAGAATGACCCACATAGCTGCGTGCTGAATGCGCTCTAGTTTGTCCATCTGACTCTTTGAGACGGTAAGCAGTCCCAGGCCATAATCAACCACTGACAAGATCAGGTGCTGATATAGTGTGAAAAGCATTCTCTGCAACCTTAGTCTTAAGTGCACTAATTTTTTTTTGGGCATCTTGTCACAACACCCCCCCCCCCCCCTACATGGTCCTTAAAGGAAAGGCTTCCGTCAAATGTAATTCCCAGATACTTCAGTTTGCTCTCTCTGTTGACGTTTCTACCATCTATCGTGAGACTTGGGACATTAGCTTTAACGATCCTGTTGTCCAGAGAACACCACAAAACGACACCTTTTCCGGGTTGACGTCAGCCCTCATTTCTGTACACCACCCAGTCACTTTGTCTACTGTCGCTTGTAGCTCCCGGGCTGTTTGTTTCCTCTCTTCCCCGTGCCTATATGCAAGTATATCATCCGCAAAAGTCAGTATCCTTCCAACTCCTGGTGCTTCCAGGCACGAAGATACGAAGATTAACTGGATACAAACAAGCAACTAGGACACTCGACGAATAGAAGTACACGCAGACAATGTATTCGTTATCAACACACGCCTACTGTACAATTCCGTAATGGTTGCCAATTTTCCGAAAGTTTGACATACCATTAGCAACCACAAGGAAGCCCAAACACAACTTCTTGGCTGAGGTTAGTCATGTTGTTTTAATAGCTTACTCCCGCCCACAAGAAAACGGCTTCTTAAAGTGATCTCCCTCGTGATGTTGATAGCTAAGGCAGGCTGCAACTAAGTATATATTTATTATCAAGGAAGAAACGTGACCTAAAGAGAGAGAGAGAGAGAGAGAGAGAGAGAGAGAGAGAGAGAGAGAGAGAGAGAGAGAAGATAGATAGAGAGAGAGAGAGAGAGAGAGAGAGAGAGAGAGAGAGAGAGAGAGAGAGAGGGAGAGAGAGTTTATGTGTGCAGTGAGGTAATCTGGTAATTTAAGAGACGACCAGCGGAGGTTGCGTCACTGCTGTTCAAAGATTATTTTCTGTTCTATGCTCTAGTTTTACCTATCCCTCTTTGTATTATAGTTGTGTTTCGTGTGATCATATTGCCCTTCCCCTCTTATTTATTCCACAGCTTTTCGCAGAGCCTTTGTGTGATCTCAGTGATTCATTCATTATCTTGTTGTGCCAAAACACAAGGCCAGCAGTTTCTTGCGATCCGACTGGAATGTCTTGATTTCGAATCCGCACCGGGTGGGTCTTGAATAACAAAAAAAAAAAAAAAAAGAAAGTGAATAGGCTCCCAGGGCGGCTTGGCCTTAAATAGGTATCAGAAAATATTATGGGAGGTAAATGCGACCGGCATGGCGTTGAACACACAAGACATCGATTGTCGACTGGGCTGTAATTGTTGACGGTAGCATAATATGCCGAAGAGCCACCACCGACATAATCAGTGCGTTCTCATTTGCTCTACTTTATTTTAACACAGTTTCAAGGGCAATTTATTCTACATTCAACTTCCCTGTTATATACTCTACTGCTTCCATCAGAGTGCACAAATGCACACGCACTGATCTGTCTCAGCCCAATCCCATTAAACATGAATGTTTACTAAAGCAACTGAGACGGAGAAGACGGTTCTTTCGTAATATCCTACCCCAGATAGCGTCACAGGACAGTCCAACATTTTAGAGGATGGTAAGACTGGGTTTCCCGTCTTTCTGATGCTTTTAACGACCCCAAAACAAATAGAAATGGCCCTAACCCCCAACCCATCTACGTCCCACGAGAGAGTGCAGCCTAGGTCCCACGACTGTCTACCACTCCCTGAAATATTAGACTGTCCCGCGATCTGTGGATTTCCTTTTTTTTTTTGGGGTAGGATATTAAGAAAGCACCGAGAAGACTCCTTTAGATATATATGTTAATAAAATCCCACAGCCTCCTTCAGCAGAAAAGCTACACTAAGCTGTGCAAAATCCCTACCACAAACAAAAGCCAGAATTCTGCCTCTCAGCCAGACA